CCCTCCCCCCCCCCCGTTCCAACCTGTCTCCCCCCTCACCCCCCCTCACCCTCCATGACGTGATGCAGCACCTCCTCCGCACTGCCCGGATCGAAGGGGGTCAGGAAGCCCAGTGAGCCGAGGTTAAACGGCACCACGGGGGGAACGCTCTGGTTGCCAAAGATGTGACACGTCCACAAAACCGTGCCGTCACCTGTGCCGTACATGGTGGGAGGGAGCAGGCAGGAGAGTGTGGCGGTGGGGGTGGGGGTGGGGAGTGGAGCTAGAAAAGGTGGGGTATGGATGGAACCAGACGCCGTTGGCGGCGCATTGGCTAGAGGGGGCTTTCCCCCGCCCCTCCCCCCCCCCGGGGGTTCAGGTGACCCGAATCCCGTCATGACCCCATAGGGCCCCCGCTCGGGGGCTGAGAAGTCGCAAGGAGGGGAGGTGGTGCGCGAACTGGAGAACGACGAGGTGTGAGTGTGTGTGTGGGGGGGGGGTAAGGGGAGCCACAAGCCGGAGCTCTGCTGGCTAATCCCCCGTCCGTCCCTAACCCCCCACTCAACCCCCCCCACACTCATCCCCCACTCACCCCCCCACTCACCCCCCCCCCACTCACCCCCCCGCGATACCCCCCCACTCACCCCCCCACTCAACCCCCCCCCACTCATCCCCCCGCGATACCCCACAAAATGGACTCACCTCCCAGCACCACCACGAAGTCCACCGCCGCCGCCACATCCCCGGGAACCACCTGGCTGTGGCAGTCATCCCCCTCATCAGCCGGCCAGCTCAGCAACATGGGAACACCCGTGTAGCAGCCCGGCATCAACACGCCCTCCTCCGCCTCCTCCGCCTCCGCCTCCTCTCCACCACCACCACCACCCTCCTCGAACAGCTCGCCCTCTCCTGCCTCCACCCACCCCTCCTCTCCCTCCTCCTCCTCCCCCTCCATTACCCAACCCTCCCCCCCAACCACGCCTCCGCTCCTTCCGCTACTGCTGCTGCCATCACCCCGCTCCTGCCCGCTACTGCTGCTGCTGCTTTCCGCGCCTGTGGCCGGCAGCGGCGCTCTGCGCCGCATGTACGAACTCCCGCGCCGCTGAAGCACCGCCGGCGGCGGCGACGGTGGTTTGCATGCGAGTCCCGGCCAGCCCCTCAGCAGGGACGGCTCCACGTAGGTCGCCACCCCCCGCTGGTGCAGCCAGGCCAGCACCCGCTCGAAGGTAGGTCGCACCCCCGGACTGGGCTTAGCCACCACCAGCACCGCGGAGGGCGGGGTCACCCAGTACAGCGCCACGAAGGCGGGCTCGGGGCTCATGGCCTGACAGGTCCGGCAGGAGGGCTCGCTGGGGCCGCCGCCGAGGGGAGCAGCAGCGGTCGCCGCCTCCAGCGGGACGGCCGCCGCCGCCGCCTCCTCTGGCGCCGCTAGCGTCGGCGGCAGCGGAGGACGCAGCAACGTGTCGGTACTGCCGGGTAGCGGTTGCCCCGCCACTGCCACTAGAGGTGGTGATGGTGGCGCTGTTGCTGGTTGTGATGGTGGCGCTGCTGCTGCTGCTAATGGCGTTGACGAGGGGGTACTGGGACAGCTGCGCACAGGTGGCGGCACACCCCGGCTTGGAGACGCGCTCACGTTTTCTACATCGCCCCCTGACGTGGCCGGCATGGGCATGGAACAGGATCCGATCCGCGGCGGCAGGTGGTGGTCGGGCCCCGGGTGACCAGACCCATCACCAGGCGCCGCCGCGCCCTCGTGCGCCGCAGGGGACCCCGCCGCCTCGGAGGTGACGACGCCAAACGGCGCCAGCGCCCCCGCCGCCGCGGCCGCCGGCTCGTGCGGGGGCAGCAGCGGCACCTCCCACCGCGCCAGCGGCGCCGCCGCGGCGGCGGCCGCCGCCGCCGCTGCGCTCATCATTCCCCCCCCCGCCCTCGGCGGCGACGCCACTGCCGCCGCGCCCGTGTGCCTTGGCGAGCCCGGCGCCAGATTACACGTGGCCCTGTTACACCTAATGAGGTTACTGGACTGCTGTATGGAGGCCAAGTCGTCCTGCAGCTTGGTGCGCTGCTTGTGGAGGCTGCCGGCATGCCAGGACAGCTCCTCGTGAAAGGAGCCGCCGCCGCCAGGCACCATACCCCCACCCCCACCCCCCGCAGCTGCTCCGGGGCCCCCTGGTGCTGCCGCTGGCCCCGTCTCCCTCCGCGGCACCCCCGAGCCGGCAGACATGCCCATCAGGGCGGCTGATAGCGGCGAGCGCGCGAAACCCACACTCTGGGTACGACCCACATGGCTCGACCCGGATCCGGATCCAGATCCGGGTACGGAATTGAATGTCGACGGTGGCTGTGTGACGGAACCGAATGTCGCGGAACCCGGCGGCGGCGGCGGCGGCGGCGGAGCGCTGGCCGTTTGCTGCTGCTGCTGCTGCGGCGGCGGCGGGGCCGGTGGTGGTAGCGGATGGTGAGATGGTGGTTGCAACGGGGAGGAGGCTTCGTGGAGGGTGGTGGTGGTGGTGGTGGTGGTAGCCCCCCGGGGGCCCTGCGGCGCGCGCAGGTGGTGCTCATGTTGCTGTTGCTGTTGGTGGTGGTGCTGTCGGGCAACCGAGAGCTCCTCCTGCCCTGGGCCTGGACCTGGACCTGGCTCCGAAAACACTACAGTCACGTCCGCAAGGTGATGACCCTCCTCCTCCTGCTCCTCCTCCCCCTGCACCTGGACAGCTGCCCGCCCGCCCACACTGCGACCACCGCCGCTCACGCGGTCCTCCCCCGGCAACAGCACCGCCCGCCCGCCCAGTCCCCCGGTACCACCACCACCACAACAACAACCAGCACCTCCCCCCCCTTCCCGCCGCGCCAGCTGCCCCTGGCCCTGCTGCACACCACCCGCCCCGCCGTCCCTGTCCCTGTCCGACGAAAACGAGGTGGTCACGGAGCCCCGCGATGTGGGAGTGGAGGAACAGGACGGAGTCAAGTCCGCCGAGGAACCGGCAGCACCAGCAGTAGCAGCAGGGCGAGGAGGAGGGGGAGGGGGAGGGGGAGAAACAGGAGGGCCCGCCGGCAAAGGCCCAGCCACGGACACTTGCATGCCCGCCAGCCGGGCGTCCAGACCCGCGCTGGACACGGAATGGGCTCGGCCGGCCGGAACAACAGCCTCATCTTCACCGCCGCCGCTGCCGCGGCTGCCGCCGCCACCGCCGCCGCCACCGCCGCCGCCGCCACTGGTCATCATCGCGATGGCGGATGAGGTGTTGGCGTAGCTCTTAGCGCCCGGTGGGGAGCTTCCTCTCCCCCGTTTCCCCCCACCGGTGGTGTCGGTGCCGGTGCCGGCTCGTGTGAGCTCGCATGCGGAGACGCTCTCGTGAACCTTGGACGGGCCCGTGTGGGCTCCGGGCCCGTCAGCTCGGCTCGTCCTGCTGCCGCTGCCTGCTGGGGGCGGGAACATGGCGCCGTAGTTGGACAGCTGCCGCAAACTAGCGGAGTCACCTGCGCGAATGCACCGCCGGGGGAAGGGTGGGGGAAGAGAAGCTCAAGAGGTAACCTGCAGGGGCGTCCAAAATCCTAAGTCCTAAATTGCTCAAGTCCTTAGCGATGAAGGGTTGGGGGGGAAACACGAACCACAAACGAGTGAAGCTGGTTGGGGGGGGAGAGGGAAACAGCGCGGGATGAGGGTGCGGGGGGAAGTGGGGTGATGGTACGGGTTATACAAAAGACGGCTGCCGGGACGGGAGCCCCTGATCAAGAGCAGGGTAGGGAAGGTGGTGGGAGACACGGGAACCGATGCCCCGGCGGCCAGATGGGGTTTAAGGTTAACAAACATGAGTGACATTTGTGTGTATTGTGTGTGTGTGTGCGTCCATCCACCCATCCATCCACACCTCCCCTGGCCCTTCCTTCGCGCGAACCCCACCCCCCACCCCCAACCCCCAATCCCCCTCCCACCCCCAACCACACTCACATCCCACCCCCAACCACACTCACCGTTCCCTCCTCGCAGCACCAGCTTGAACCCCGCTCGGCTGTGTCCCCGAGTGCTGCCTCCCCCGCCCCCTCCCCCTCCCCCTCCCGTCCCCATGCTGCTCAGACTGCTGCAGCTTGTGTTCCGAGTGCCACTGTCCACCGTGGCCGGGCCCCCTCCTCCAGCGCCGGACGCCCCCTGCAGCAGCTCACTGCCACCGCCGCCGCCAGCACGCCTACTACCCGGCCCAGCAACCAGCAGCAGCCCTTGGTGGCCTGCAGATGCAGGTCCATGCCCCACATGACCAGGGCTCCACCTCAAGCCACCCGACTGCTGCTGCTCAGCTGGGCTGACTTGCGCCGAGATACTCGAGCCGGGGCCAGGTCCGGGCCCTGGCCCCGGTCCCGGGCTGGCGGAGGTGCGCTGCAGGGCGAGGGAGAGGTCCCCCTCCTGGATGCCGTGACTGGCTCGCGGGGAGACGGCTGCAAAGGCGCTGATGGCGGCTGCGCTGGCTGCAGCTGCGGCTGTGGCTACGGCGGTGGTAGAGGAGCAGACCTGGTTCAGGTCGCTGTCGACCTGGCTGCGGGGATAGCCTCCTGAGAAAAAGGGGGGGTGAGTCGGGCGGTGGTAGAGGAGGGGCGACTGTACTTGGAAGTGCGGGATACGTTTAGTGCGGGATACGGAATGAGGGGCAGGATGAGCGCGGGGGTAGCAAACACGTATGCAAGAGAGGGTCAGGGTGAGTTTCTGTGTGTGTGTGTGTGTGTGTGTGTGTTAGGATTGATGCTCCCGCTGCCCCTCTCCCCTCTGCCTGCAGGAGATGATTCGGCGAGGTGATGAGGCCTGTTGAGTGCCTGCTGTTGCAGGTGCAAGAGCTGCTCACCTTGCAAGCCCTGCGCGGCGGGTGCGGAGAGCGCGATTGCCACAGCCAGCATGGAGCTGAAGTGGTAGGCGGGAGCGTCCGAATTGGGTCTGCGAAAGGAATGTACCAGCTGTGCAACTGGGCACATGGAGTAAATCAGGGGAAGCCAAGCAAGGTCCGCACCCGTAACGAGTAACCCGACGGAGAGATGGCGGAAAGCATTTCGACTGTGAACATGATGCAATCGTCAGCATGCGGCGCAGCCGCACATTTCGTCGGTGTTCTTCCTGCGCCCTGCCGGTGGATGGACCGCGTAAGCCATTGACGCACGGCTCATCAGAGCCCAGGGACAGCTTAAGAAGGATCTGTGATAATAACTACCTCGATCGCCAAGCTTCGCACTCCACGCGTGC